AATTTGATAAGAAAATTCCCGGTTTTTCCTGGTCAAATTAAACTCCCGGCTATTTATCGGTTTCCCCGCGCAATTGGTAGACACTCTGTCAATTCTATTATGGTAAACTAAATCCCGTCAAAGACTGGTACTGGTATATAACATATTTTCTTAAAAAAGAGTATTTTCATAAAATAAAAATAACCCCAAAAATACTACTGAATTAAACTTGATAGTAATTAATAACAATTATAATTTTTTCGATTTTTTGATATGGAAAATATTTTTATACTTACGTCTTAGTCATATCATTTTTTGTGCAAAATTATGCTAAAATATGAATAAATTACATGTAACACTCAATTATACAGAGTTTAAAAGCAAATCATCAAAACATGTAAAATTTGTGATTTTTAAAATTTTTTGAAAACATTTTTATACTTTAATATTAGTTACAAGATATTATTTTTTGAAAAATTATGCTAAAATTTGACTTAATAACATGTAACAATAAAATATAAATCATTTAAAAGCAATTCATTAAAAAATATAAAATTTTAAAAATTTCGATTTTTTAAATTTTTTAAAAAAAATTTTATGCTTAGTTATAGGACATTATTTTTGGCAAAACTTTTCTAAAATGTGACTAAATAACATGTTGTACTCAATTATAGAAAGTTTGAAAGCATTTTTGAAAAAATGTAAAATTTGAAAATTTTTTATTTTTGAATTTTTTGAAAAAATTGAATATCTCCCGTTCTAATTAATATTTTTCAAATCTGTAAATTTATAAACCTTCCTTGGCCCAAGGTCTAACATTCTGCCAAATTTGGTTTCAAATGGTTTAGCCGTTTTTAAGTGATGCGCGAACAAAGATTCTGTGACATACCGACACACATACATACATACATACATACATACACGAAATTTTTTATTGGTATATTTAGAATCCTTGATGCCTAAAACGAATAATTATGTGCGAAATTTAAAGTTCTGAGCAATGTACAGACAAAAGTCTGATTTTATATATATATAGATTGTTTAAAATTAACGGCGTCTAATATTATTTATAATTTTATTTGATGGTATTTACAAAAATGTCAAATTGGCAGCTTTATTAAGTTTTGCAATTTGAAACATTGTTAGTTGTTCAATTTGTTATTCAATTTTACAAAGAAAAAAAAATACAGAAAAATTGTTATTATAACATATCTGAATTTAACAATTTTTTTACCTTGTAATCAGGATGAATTTATAGAAAAGTATAAAAAAAATTTCTTCTCAAAACTTCAATGAACTCCTTTTATGGAAGAGTATCTGAGTCTATAGAGAAAAAAGGAAAGACTAATAAAAGCTTTTTCTCCGAAGTGTAAGGTTTAGAAGAAAGTGGAGTAAATGTCCCTGTGAGGCTGATAGGAATGTTGGAACGTTCATTGACCGGCAATCGTTTATCAATTGCATTTGTGCAGACAGATATTGACAGTCCTTGGAAATGTATCTCATCTTCTTTAATTTGTGCGTGCCTTAGGATGTTGAAGGTATTTTATCGGCAAAACTTGACATTAGAGATAGGAGGAAAATCTTATCAATCTTGTTGAACAACGGGTATTGCCTTTCTCGTTTTCAAGGTTAAATTTTTTACATACAATGTGTTTTCTTTCTTGATTATCCCTCTCCCAGATGTATCTCTTAGACATTTTGTTCAAGATTCTATTCTTTATCTTTGGAAAAATAAGATTGAGGAAAAAATTTTTAGCTATAGATAGAACTATTTTTTAAACTAAAGAATGGTTAATTATTTATTATTTTTTTTGAAAAAGATCTGTCAAAAGGAATAACAAAATAATTCAACTTTTTTCTATTTCCCGCGAGGCTTTTGCTGTTGAGAAAAACTATAGGGGAGAACGAGGTGAGTTGTAACAGAGGTGAGTTGTAACAAAGCCGATTTCTTGAAAGCTATGACCTTTTAAAAATTTTGAAAAGCGTGAATTTATTACATTTTTTATTCACTATTTGATGCAAATTTACTTGACCACCTGAGAAAAGTTTTTGAGATGTATTTAATATGTGTGCAAAAAAATTGCTAAAAGTAAGTTTTCGGCCGGAATTTTGATACAGTCGAACCTGGATAAGAGAGAACTGGATAAGCGAGAGAAAATTGCCGGTCTCTTGAACTCTCGCTTATCCAGGTTCGACTGTACTTTATTATTCGACACATATTAGATTTTTGTTATTCTAATATTTACCTTAATAACTGTTGGATATCCTAGTTTCATGAAATGGTTTTGTTTTTTTGTGTCAGTTTCGAAATTTAAAATAAAAAATAATTATTCGAACCGATGCACAGTTTCTCGCACCTAGGCGAGTTGTATCAGGCTGTTTCAACTCACCTAGGTTTACGCAAATTTGTGCTTGATAGAGTAGAGACTGACGGATTTTTGCTAAAGTATATTGTTTTATATTATGGCTTTAAAAGTATTTAGAATTTTACAAATTTTCGTGCAAATCACTTTCATATTTTCGAAAGTAAAAAAAATATTATAATAAAAATATTTTTCGAGTTGCTCTTTCATATATACAAAAGTCAAAAATAATTTCTACTTATAGGTTTTTTTTTGGTATTATTGAGCATGTTGCTCATTTTTAATTTATTTTTCGGTTTAATTTGATTTATATTGATCTCATAAATTTTCTTACTCTAATTACTCCTTAATTATTTAAAAATTTGCAGACAAAATTTTATTATTCTTAAATTTCTATAAAATATACCTATTATATAATATTATTTTTAGCTATTATAAAGCTCAAATTGTTATTATAGATCGTAATTAAATAACAAAGATTGGTTTAAAATATTTAATTAGGGGCCGTACACATAATACGTCACGCGATTTTGGACCCTTTTTAACCCCTCCCTCCCCCTATGTCACACTTCGTCGCAAACCTTGAACCCCTCCCTCCCCCTACGTCACGTCACACACGTAAATTTCACTGTAAATTTTATACATTGGACAATATATATATTATATCTTACACTATAAATTATTGAATCGCAGTTAAAAATACCTGATTTAGAAGCAAAAAGTCAGTCACTAATTCAAATAGTAATATTTTTTTTCTGACAATTAGTTGAAAATAACTGATGTTTCAATACAATTGTTTTTGATTGATTTAATTAGTCACGTTTAACTACCTATACATAGCACCGAAACTTTCCTAAAAATTTACTAAAGATTTACTCGCAATTAAGCTTTGAAATATTTAAATGCAAAGTTTAGTGAAAATTGTGTAAAGATTTAAATATCCCACTTCAATAAATGTGTAGCGCGAAACTTTCCTGAAAATTTAAGTTAAATTTTCAGGAAAATTTTCACGAAAGTATAGTCGAAAATGCAATTCAAATGTTCAGGAAAGTTTCAAGCTATATTTTTAAGAAAATTTGACGATAGACATTTATTGGAGTGAGAAATTTAAATCTTTACACAATTTTAAAATAAACTTTGCAAGTAAATTTTTCGAATTATGCAAGCAAATCTTTAATATACAATATTTAGAAAAATTTCGGTGTTTTGTGGATAATTTTTCAGTTATTTTTAACTGATTCAGAAGCAAAAAGTCAGTCACTACTGATTGTCAGTTAAAACCATGATTTTTAACTGATTCAAATTAAGAGAATATATTATTTATCATCATATTATAAATAATATGCCAATAGATGTTAAACAGGTACATAATAGATATTAAATAGTTTAAAGCATTTTTAACTTGTTTTATTTAGAAAAAGTGACATTGTCACATATAATTTCTTATAATCTTTGAATTTAAAAGATTGTGACGTAACACATGAGTTCACCCCCCCCCCCCTCCCCCATGTCACACTCAGTCACAATTCTCAGACCCCCTCCCTCCCCCTAGACGCGTGACGTATTATGTGTACGGCCCCTTAGTGTTAAAGAAAACGAAATAAGTGATAACCTAATTCCAAAAATAAGTTAAGGTATTAAAACGAGTGTTTTATTCGTTTCTATTAATCAGATGTCTTTACGAACTAATTAACTTTACTTCACTAACTAAACTAAACATTAAAAATTAATTTTTTTCATTAAAATCACAAAATTTGCAACTGTTACAACTAACGTCGACTTCACTAACTAAACTAAACATTGAAAATTAATTTTTTTTATTAAAATCACAAAATTTGCAACTGTTACAACTAACGTCGACATGTGTTACTGTTTCGGATTTTGCAATTTTTTCGTAAACCCTTACAACTTTTTACATTTTTAATTTTTGATTCACATAGTACACAAAACTACCTATCCAAAAATACAAAGCTCATAAAAATAGGACAATTTTTGGCTGAGTTATACTGGATAATGTAAAAATCGTTTCAACTCACCTCGGTCTCCCCTATGCCTTTCATATGCATAGGGGATGCATTTTATTGGGATGCATAGGGGATGCATTTTATTGAAATTTGAAATTGTAAAATAAAACATAAAAACTAATAATTAGAATTTGTTTGGTCAGTAATGAATTAAAGAATATAATAAATAATATAACAATAAGAAAATATTAGTTTTAGCTATAGAATAAATACGATAACAAATGACACAAAAATAAATAAAAATTTAAAAATCTATTAGTCACTGAACTAAACATTTACAACACTGGAAAACTAACAATGTCAAAAATGAGGTTTGAACGCGATCGCGAGACACACTCCAAATCATTTTCTCCACTCTAAAATGACGCTTATTTTAGAGTGCGTACCGCGATCGCGTTCAAACCTCATTTTTGACATTATTTTAATTTTCTATGTTCGGTTCTGTTTATTATATTAACTTTAAAACAAGCGTCATTTGGAGAAAATGATTTGAAGTTAATAAAATAAACAGAACAGAAAATAGAAAATTGAAACAAGGTAAGAAGACATGAAATAAAAATGGGCAATCAAGAAATTATGACTATTGGATAATAGAAATTAATGAATATATAATTAATTAATTTAATATTTACAGGTATATTAGCAGTTTACGTTGCGTGAGCGGTGACGGTAACCGTGGCAGTAGTACAACCGGTGGTTCAACCGGCTTGCTACGTGGAATTCGTAGCCGCGGAGGCGGCGGGGGTGGAGGGGGTGCGGGTAGCCCAGGCTCTGGAAGTCCAAGAGGAGGAAGTCCCCGTGTTGTTAGCCCGCGTCTGGGTAACAGAGGCGGTGGAACTGAGGGTGTACCAGTACCCCCAAGCAACGGTCACCATCACCTAAACGGACACGGACATCATCACCACCATCATCAAACAACCACAGGAACCCGCCACATTAGGCATCACAAACTAACAGTTAGCAAACATTGCAACGAACACCGACATCATCTACATCATCATCGACATCATCCACATCATCGATTCCATCGGGGAATGAACATGGGACAAAAAATATCAGGTGAGATGGACATGTGTTTAAAAAGTTGAAAATTATTTTCTATTCCATAGACTCTATAATGGTGCTTCCAGATAGCAAACGCCAGGCAGTAAATCCTGTTGAAAAGATTCCCGTACATTTCCTTGTATATGGAATTGGGAAATTTACTTGTACAGGTTCATGTTTCAGCTCTTGTATGTCAATTTTAGTCGTATCTGTCTGGCCAATGTCGGTCCAACTCAACATGCCAATGCGGTTAGGCTAACTGACGAAATAATAACGATTCACAGTCTATTGGCGACGATCATTATCCCAAAATCGGACCAACTTTAAATAAATAGTAATATACCAACCCAAAAAAATAATTAAAAAATTAAATTACTTACAATCAAACCTTTAACCTGACACACAGTGAGAAAAAAAGCACGATGCTAGACAATGTTGCGCTGACAACTCAAATCTCAACGGATTTTAATGTGCCTTTTTTTAAAATGCTCAGGAAGGTTTGTGCTGTTAGCCTTGTGTGTTACTTTTTAAAAATTCTTTATTATAATTCTGAGAATTTTAGAAAAAGAAACATTAAAATTCATTGAGTAGGACGCATCGAAGTCCCATACGCTAACCATAGCGGTATACTAACCTGTCCAACATAGCATAGTGCTACGCTTACTTATATGATCATATAAAAAGAAATGTATTCAGAATTAACGACCATGGTCCAGAGTTAGTCCAAACAAAAATTTTAGGTCTCTTAAACAACGTTCCTCGGAGATTTTCCAACCTTTGGGCCCAATGGTTGGCTTGTTAAGTCGGACCAAGCATGGACAATTATTAATATAGTACTTGCTAACGATATTCAATTTTACTTAAAAGACAACCTAACCCTAAAATGACATTACAATTAAAATTGTGTGAAAAGTAAAATTAAATACGCATTTTTAATTTTTTTTAAATCGTATGTATTAAATTACAACCATTTGAAAGTAAATTATTGAAATTGATACGGTTTTACCCTGTTGAAAGTAGAAAGATAGAAATAGATAAAAACTGATGGACAAAAATGGATAAAAGTTTTCTATCCTTACTAAGTATATATACTTTGCATCTTTTAAAAATTATCTTTTTCTATCCAGAATTTTCTATCTATTTAAATCCATTCTAAAGAAAATTTTTTTTATCATTTTTATATCTTTTAATTTTTATTCATATAGATCTATGTTAAAATTCTTTCTTATACACTTCTATCAAAAAAAAAAACGTTTTCTTATTTTATCAAAGTAAAAGGATAAAGTTACTAGATCATCACTAGACCGCCAATCAAAATACCTGCACATACCCTATAAAGCAATTCAAAGTTGAAAAGTGTAATTTTTTTCGTTTTTAAATTTAATTTTTCTTAATATTTATTAGCGTTACATGCTATGCATGACAATAATTCACTTTTAAAGGTACTGCCACAGCTCTTGTTGACAGCTGCCTGCGCAGGCAGCTGTCCTCAATTTAGGCGGAAGATTTAAATTAATATATTTTTTTTAGTGAAAATTATTATTAAAATTGAATAAAAAATAATAATTATTATAATTTTTATTATTATCTTTAATTTAATTTAATTATTACAATTAAAAATAAAAAATTTAATTTTAATATTAATTTAAATCTTCCGCCTAAATTGAGGACGTCATTTTTGCCAGCCCAAGCTTCTTAACTAACAATGTCAAACAAATATGATTAATTTTATGATTAATTTCACTGCCTAAAAGTACGTAAAAATTAAATTCACCTTTAAAGAGGAAAAGTTAGTATTTTTCAATCACTCGGAAAATGAGACCTCAAAACTCTATCTTTACTTTGCGATAGGTTATTTTTTAAATTAGGGTAAAAAAAGTAATCCGATAAGTAGGATAAGGGAACTTCGTTCTCAAGACTCGGAATGATCTTAAAGTTTTGAACGTTCAAATGAACGAAATTTATTTATTTCTTCTTCAAATTAAACTTTTAATACAAAATTTTGTGTCACTATTAAACAAATTAATTATAAAGTTTCTAAATGTAAAATTTAAGTTTTTAACATTAATTGTAATCAATAAACTATGAAAATATTTTTAACAAAAAATATTTCGTTCATTTGAACGTTTAAAACTTTTTGTTCCTTATATAGAGTTGTCAAATACCGTTGAGTACCGTTATATAATACACGGAGAAAAATTTTCAGTTAAAATTACTATTAAAAATAGAAGCTGAAACTATTTCACATAGTATTTTCGTGACACATCGAGTTAATCGTAAAGTGTAATATTTTATTGAGTATTTTGTACTATGGTATCAAAGTATTTGATATTATTAATTATATTAGTTCTAACTATGTAAATATTTTTTGGAACTTGGTTAAATAGTAAAGGTAACTTTTCCGCCTAGAAAATATAACAATTCCAAATACTTGAACCTACTATGAGAGAAAGGCTAGCGCGCTATGCATCATGGTAAACTCCACTATGAGAGAAAGACTAGCGCGCTATGCCTCATGGTAATCTCCACTATTTTAAATGAATGACTGCGCGATGAACCACATGGTAAACTCCACTATTTTAATAGTGCACGACGCTAGTGCTAAATGACTTTGAACATAATGTAAAATTGTCTTCAGACAATTCAGTCGAATTTCACTGAAAATCCGTTAAAAATAACTGAAATTTCAGTCATTTTCTACTGATTCGACAATTAAAAAACTACTGAAAATTTATGTCACACATATTGAAAATTTCAGATATTTTTTAATTGTCCAATCAGTGAAAAATGACTGAAATTTCAATCATTTTGAACTGATCTTCAGTGAAATTTCACTGATTCAAATCGCGAGAATAGAGTCACTGATTCTTAGTCAAATTTCACTAATTCATGGAAATTTTAACTATTTTAAGTAAGGATTGTAATTTTGTGCAATAACTGAAATTGCTAGAAACAAAAGTTTTAATAAATTAAAAGTAAAATTTTTAATTTAAATCATCAATAATAATTTTTATTAATCTAAAATAAATATATACACAGCAAAAGTTTAAAATAATGAATACACTTAATTATAATGGTTTCAATTTGTAGTCTTGCGCTTATAATTACACAATTTCAAATTGCTCATTTTTTTACGAAAAAACTGACGTCATCTTAAAAATTAAATTCACTTTTTAGCAATGTATTCAATGTTTTCAAATGACTAACTGTACCATTTATAAACTTTTTCCAAACTAAACTGCTGCACCTTGGTTAGTTTTTCGCTTTTCGTTTGTTGATCCGTACTTCATCTGTATTGGTGTGATCATGGTAGACAAAAGGTGTAAAAGCACTGCATCTTGAGCGTCTGTAAAATTAAATAAAGTCAGCATTTATTAAATAAAATATATATAGAATATTCAAATATCCTGTATACAGACATACTAATAGTTCCAAGTTACATGTTCAGAAAGCAGTGTTAATTTGTGTAACTTTAATTAACTAATTAAATTTTAACTAATTTAATAGTACTATAATTTTTAAATATTTACCTTAAATTCGATAGCGCCTTTAGTATTTCAGGACATTTTTGGCGTCATGACGCCAACATTCAACACTATACTATATATATGTTCATGTATAAATCAAAAAGTACTTAAAATAACGATTTTTTCGCGAAAAGTTTAATCACTCAAACAAACATTTATTTCACTTTTTAATTTTTTATGCATGTTTTATTAAATTTAAATAATAAAAATTTTAATTTAAAATAGTTTTACGAATAACGTCTTTAAGTTTAGAGTTTTCAGAGACGACTGAATGTATACAGTACACGTTGGTATACAGAAAGTCTATTTTTAGAACTAAAAACGATGCTGATGGCCATTTCTATTACAAAAAAAAATGTACTGTGTTGTGAACACATGTAATTTCACAGTGTAAAATGGTAATGTCCACCATGTAAAAAAAGAATTTCAGTTATTCATTGAATCAGTGCGTTAACTTGGTTTAGTAGGTCTTAGACCCATGCGCTATGAGTGGACCGTACTATTTCACATAGTAAAAGATCTTTTACTATGTGAAATAGTACGGTCCACTCATAGCGCAAGGGTCTTGCAGCTATTATATTCAGACGTTAAGGGGCAATTTTTCTCCTTGATTTCTTTACTATGTGAAATAGTATAAACTCCTACAACAAGTAGAACTTACTGCTATTATAAATACACATTTTTAGTTATTTCTAATGGCATAAAATAATATGCATTAATGTTATAAAACACTTTTTAATGGAGAGTTTTCGTTATGTAAGATACTATTTTGACTGACTAGCATCATAATTGCCGTATTGTAAATAATATTTTCTCCTTTTCTTAAATTGTATTTGATGTATTTAAAATAATATTCCATACTTTGTATACTTTAGTAAAAGATACTTTAAAGCATTAACTGAAATAACTACACACTTTGCAAAACATCTAACGCGTCATAGTTAAAAAAACTATGTAAAATAATTCAAGATACCATTTTTAAAAAATGGTAATTTCTACTATGTACAAATAGCACTATTAATCATGAAATAGTACTTAATATTAGAACTGGTAGTTTTTTTAATTATATCTGATAATGATTCGATATTTTACTATGTGAAATAGCGTTTTTAACTTGGTTTTCAAAAACCATTTCTCTGCGTGTATAATTCAACCACACGGTTAAATTAATTACCTTATATAGAAATTAATACACTTCAGAAAATGTTTCAATATTTTTATATAACTAATATAAATTTTAGTTTGCAAGTTATCTATGTTGTTCGATTTATAGTAAAATTGACCATTAGATACAATCATAATAGATAGATTTGGATACCATAATGTTTGAAAGTCAAAGATATATTTATTTCCAGACAACTATAATTAAATCAAATTAGCCTATATACAATTAGAAAATTGTAAATAAAGTTTGAAATAAATTAACGTATAAAAAATTAGTAATAAGCATAAAAAAATTGTTTCTGATTTAATTAGATCTAATTAGAT